CAACAGTCTTGGTGTATTATCAATGCCAACATGATCGTAATGATTGTGACGTAGACACGTAGAGACGTCAACACATCCTGCACACTAACAAGTGACAGGTAGAGGCGTCACCACACCTGTACACATACAGGTGACAGGTAGAGACGTCAACACACCTGCACACTAACAGGTGACAGGTAGAGGCGTCACCACACCTGTACACTAACAGGTGACAGGTAGAGGCATCAACACACCTGTACACTAACAAGTAACAGGTAGAGGTGTCAACACACCTGTACACTAACAGGTGACAGGTAGAGGCTTGCATTTAACACCACGGTCGTCTGAAAACTTGAACGAAATACTGTAGATGGTAGGGAAGTGTGTGTGTGTATGTGCAGGGGCCATTCCAGAGGCGGTGGCGCCCCAAAAGGCCCTCCTAGGTGCAACGGTGTCCCCAAGAGACCTCCCAGGGGCGGTGGTGCCCATTAGGGCCCTCTCAAGGATGGCGGCACCCCTTCCCGGGGTGGTGGCGCCGCCAGGGGTCCTCCCTAGAGCTGGCAATGCCTCTAGGGGTCCTCCCAGGAGCGGCAGCGCTCCCGGGGACCCTCCCTTAGGGTGGTAGTGCCTCCTGGGGCCCTCCCAGGGGAGTTGGCGCTCCCAGGGACCCTCCCAAGGGCCCTCCCTAGAGGTGGCAGTTCTCTAGGGGTCCTCCCAGGGGCCCCTCCCTAAGGGTTTCACCGCCTTCAAGGGCCCTCTCAGGCGCCCTGCCAGGTGTTGTGGCGCTCAAAGGGCCCCTTCTAGGAGCTGTGGTACCACAAGGGGGCCTCCCACGGGCGGTGCTTCCTCTCCCCTCCCCCGGGGCTCTCCCAAGGGCGGTGGTGCTCCCAGGGGCCCCGCCAGGGCTGGAGGTGCTCCCAGGGGTTCTCCAAGGGGCGGCAACGCCCCCAAGGGCCCTCCCAAGGGCGGTTGCGCTTCCAGGGGCAGTGGCGCTCTCAGGGGCTCTCCCAGGGTGGGTGGCTCGCTCAGCGTCCCTCTTAATGGCGACGGCACCCCCAGGGACTCTCCCAAGGGCGCCGGAGCCTCCAGGGGCCCTCCCCGATGCAGAGGCGTCCCTGGGGGCCGTTACAGGGGCGGCGGCGCCTCTAGGGGGCTCTCTCTAAGGCGATGGTGCCCTCAGGGGCCTAACATAGGGGTGGCGACGACCCCAGGGGCCCTGCCAGGGGCGGTGACTCCCCCAGAGGCCTTCTCAGGGGCGGTGACACCTTCAGGGGCTCTTCCAGGGACGGTGACGACCCAAGGGGCCCTCTCAGGGGCCCTCTCCTGTGCGGCGGCTGCCCCAGGGATCCTCCCAAAACCTGCGCTCTTGTTTGTTTGCCTGCTTGCTTTTTCGTTTGATTCTTTGTTTATTTGCTAGCTCGTTTGTTTGTCTGTTTGTCTGCATGCATGTCTGTTTGTTTTTTCTTTGTTTACTGTTTGTTTGCTTTTCTTTTCTTTTATCCTTGCTTGTTTGTTTGTTTGCTTGCTTGTTTGTTTCTTTGTCTGTTTATTTGTTTGCTTGCTTGCTTGCTTACGTGTTTGTTTAATTGTTTGCTTGCTTGCATGATTGTTTGTTTATTTTTTATTTTCTTATTTACTTGTTTGTTTGGTTACTTGCATGCTTGTTTGTTTGTTTGCTTGCTTGCTTGACCCAGTTAGTTTCCTCCTTTCTCTCCACAAGCCTGAACCATCTCAGTTTAGCCTCCAGGTACTGTACTTCTCTCTGTTGTCACCCATCTTCCACATCTCACACAATCTTCTTTTCTCTTTTTATCTCTCTCTCTCTACTTCATCATTCTCGCCATAAATCTTATCAACCACACTCAACGGAACATCTTTTATTATGGCCCAGGGTCTTGGTACACTGCCCCTCACTCTGTCACTAGCTGTTTCCCAGCCTCTCAACTCATAAGAAAATGCTTCCTCTACATTCAGTTCCTTCACAATTCCCACACTCTCCTTCTTGGAACATCCACCTCATTTCTCTCCCTCCATCTTTAAGTAACATGTCACACACACCACACACACGCACGCATGCACACTCACAAGCATCCTTAACAAGCAACCTCTTCTAAATTCTTGACAAAAATGTAGCCAATCTGGGTTTATGTGTCACCTAATTTAGCCAAATTATACATGGATAAAAAGTGAGAAATAAAGATGTTCTGGTTTATAATTAAAAGAAGACAAATTGTCAATCTTCCAGAGCTACAGCTAAACACCTCAGTTTAACATTTACCTCCACCTCACACTGGCTCACATTACAACAGAGGAACATCTGTGATGAAACAAAATTATCAGGGAAAAGCTCAAAATATTTCCATACACTAGACCACCTTAGATAGATAGATAGATATTCAATAAACTTATCATATAAGTTTACAATTGGTTTAACCTGCATATAGCCAATGCAGGTACTGCATACAGTTCAGCATACAGACAATGCAGGTATACAATTAAGCATGTATATAGACAATGCAGTTATACATTTCACCATGTATATAGACAATGCAGTTATACATTTCACCATGTATATTGACAATGCAGTTATACATTTCACTATGTATATAGACAATGCAGGTATACATTTCACCATGTATATAGACAATGCAGTTATACATTTCACCATGTATATAGACAATGCAGTTATACATTTCACCATGTATATAGACAATGCAGTTATACATTTCACCATGTATATAGACAATGCAGTTATACATTTCACTATGTATATAGACAATGCAGTTATACATTTCACCATGTATATAGACAATGCAGTTATACATTTCACCATGTATATAGACAATGCAGTTATACATTTCACCATGTATATAGACAATGCAGTTATACATTTCACCATGTATATAGACAATGCAGGTATACAATTAAGCATGTATATAGACAATGCAGTTATACATTTCACCATGTATATAGACAATGCAGTTATACATTTCACTATGTATATAGACAATGCAGTTATACATTTCACCATGTATATAGACAATGCAGGTATACATTTCACTATGTATATAGACAATGCAGTTATACATTTCACTATGTATATAGACAATGCAGTTATACATTTCACCATGTATATAGACAAAGCAGTTATACATTTCACCATGTATATAGACAATGCAGGTATACAGTTCAGCATGTATATAGGCCAGGGGTGGGCAATTATTTTTATTGACGGGTCACTTCATGAATGGTGGTACACTTCGCGGGCCACAGACTTAATGTAGATACAAAAGCATAATATTTGCACAAAGTAAAGCCTTGTATTTATATATATAGGAGTAAGGAAATATTTAGTAACATACATAGATATTTTGTGCAAATAAATACATCACTTCTTAGCTTGTATCTTTTATTATTACTAATACAAATACTAATATTAATACTACTAGTAATAATATAGAGTTAAGGTGCAGTATAATTAGTACTTTAAGTACTTGAGACGTTGTCTTTACTCTTCTCTAGGGAGGTGGTGGTGGTGCGGTTGAGTTGGTGTGTGTGTGTGTAGTTGTTATTATTACGACACACATGCCATGAACAATCGTGAAATTACGAGGAAAATTCATTGTTTTCTCTGTAGCAACACTGTCCCTTACCAGTGTTAGCCACCGGGTGTGTGTTCGTGGCGACCATCTGGTGAGTTAGAAGAAAAAACTTACCACGAAATCCAATAAGATCTCTAGAGCCCTGTTGATGAACCTGTGTGTATGGGGGGGGTAAGGGGTGTGTGATGGGCGTAGGGATGTGCAGAGATGGTTAGGTTTGTGTGATGGGATTAGGGACATGTGGAGGGTGAACGGATATAAGGGGTGTGTAGGGGAGGGTGGGGGGAGGTGTAGGGATGAGTGGGGCGGTGTAGGGATGCGTGGGGGTGTAAGATGGGTAAGGGATGTAGAAGGTTGTGAAGGGCGTGTAAGGGTGTTGGGGTGTGTGAGGGGCGTAGGATTATGTAGGCGTATGTGTGAGGAATGTAGGGGGAGTTTAGGGGTGTTTGACGGGGTTAGGGACATATGGGGTGGGGTGTGGTGTGTGGGGGTGTGGTGTGTGGGGGTGGTGTGTGGGGGTGTAAGTAGTGTGTGAAGGATGTAGGGATGTGTAGGGGTGACCAAAGGGGTGTAAGAGGTGTGAGGAATTTAGAGGTCTGGTAGGGTCCTTTCGAGGTGTGTAAGTGTGTGGGGGTGTGTAAGTGTGTGGGGGGGGTGTAGGGTCTGTAAGGAGTAGAGAGGGTGTGGGGGTGTGTAGGGCTGTATGAAGGTGTGTGGGAGTGTGTTGGAGTGTGTATGACTGTGTAGGGGTGTATGAGGGTGTGTAGGTGTAGGGTCGTCTATGGGTGTATGATGGTATGCAAGTGTATGTACAGTAGGGGTGGCACCTCAAGGCACGAAACTTTCAACAACGTAGTCTACGTTCCATCCTGAGAAGACAAGAGAACAAATGCCGGTATTTTCGGCGCCGACCCAGAGAATTTCCTAGGCAACACCGCTCCTGGGAGGCACTGCCGCCCCTTGCAGGTCTCCTGGGGACGGTTGTTTTTACACTATTTAGAAATCTGGGAGTTATGACGTTAAATAAATGCAATGGCCATCGCATTTCCTGTTTCATCTCATCCTGAACAACGAAAAGAAAATAAATCCAACAGCAAAACATAAGTTTGGGTGTTGTGCTGACTGACTGCTCTGTTCTATTGGCTGTAATTAGGTTGATTTACATTTTAATCCACAATCACAGTTAAGAAAGGATTGCTGGTCTTATGCATTATGCGACACCAAGACCAAGCAAGCTTTAGGGTTCCTGGAAGGCGACCCTAGTAGGGCCCTGGGAACTCCGCTGTTCTGAGAGGGACCCCGGGGCGATCCTGTCCTTGGGAGATCCCTGGGAATTCCATGGGGGTGACACCGTCCCTGGATGGCCCCTGGGTGCTGTGGCATTGAGGCAACCTAGGGTGCCGCCGCCATAAATGGACCCTAGGGTGCTGCGGCCCCTTCTGGGGGCCCTAAGGCACCGCCGTTACTTGAAGGTCTCTGGGGAGCCACCGCACCAACCAGGTCTCCTGGGGACAGTTGTTTTACACGATTTATAACTCTGGGAGACATGACGTTAAATAAATACAATGGCCATCGCATTTCCTGTGTCATCTCATCTGAACAATGAAAAGAAAAATATATCTCCAACAGCAAACATAAGTTTGGGTGTTGTGCTGACTGACTGCTCTGTTCTATGGCTGTAATTGTTGATTTACATTTTATTCCACCAATCACAGTTAGTTAGGCATTGCTGAAGCACACAATGACGAAGCAATCTAGAGGGCTCCTCAGGGGCACCTTGTGGCTCCTGGGGCCCGCCGCCCTTGGGAGGAACATCAGTACGACCACCCTGGGAGGCCACCTGGGGAAGCGCTGCCTTAGAGATCCCCGGAGGCGGCGCCGACCCAGAGAATTTCTGGTAGGCACCACCGCTGGGAGGGCCCTGGAGGTGCTGCCGCTTGGAAGGCACCAGGGCACGCCTGCCCGGGAGGACCCTCGAGGTGCTGTCCTCAGAATGCCTCTGAGAAGCAGTCCCTCAGAGTGCTGCCCAGCACGTCTCCTGGGGACAGTTGTTTTTACACTATTTAGAAATCTGGGAGTTATGACGTTAAATAAATGCAATGGCCATCGCAATTCCTGTTTCATCTCATCGTGAACATTAAAAAGGAAAGTAAATATCCAACAGCAAAACATAAGTTTGGGTGTTGTGCTGACTGACTGCTCTGTTCTCCTATTGGCTGTAGTTCGTTGGATGTACAGTTTAGTCCACCAATCAAAAGTTATGCATTCCTAAGCTCCTGAGAGGGGCACTCTTTTAGGCTCCTGGGGCTCCGCCCCTTGATAGAACCCTGGGTACTGACAACTGCTGGAGGCCTGAGGTGCAGCTGCCTTCGGATATCAAGGCACCATTCCGTCAAATTCCTGAGGCACCAACGCTCCTGGGAGGGACCCGAGGCGGCCACCCCTTTGGAAGGCACCCAGAGGCCTGGAACCCCTGAGGGTGCTGCCGCACCTGAGTCTGAGGCCCTGGGGGCACTGCCGCCCGTAGATCTCCTGGGACAGTTGTTTTTACACTATTTAGAAATCTGGGAGTTATGACGTTAAATAAATGCAATGGCCATCGCAATTCCTGTTTCATCTCATCGTGAACATTAAAAAGGAAAGTAAATATCCAACAGCAAAACATAAGTTTGGGTGTTGTGCTGACTGACTGCTCTGTTCTCCTATTGGCTGTAGTTCGTTGGATGTACAGTTTAGTCCACCAATCACAGTTAAGTAAGGGATTGCTGGACTTATGCATTAAGTACAACACCAAGACCAAGCAAGCTTTAGGGTTCCGAGAAGGAGGCGACCCTCATAGGGGCCCTGAGGACTTTGCCGCTCTGGGAGGGACCCTAGGTGACGCCACTGTCCCTAGGAGGGGCCCTAGGGGCGCCGCCAGTTCTGGGAGGGACCCTGAGGTCGATGCTGTCCTTGGGAGATCCCCAGGGAATTTTCCTGGGGGTGCCACCGCCCCTGGTAGGCCCCTTGGGTGCTGTTGCGCATTGGAGGCCACTTGGGGTACTGTCGTCCTTCAAATGATCCCTAGGGGAGCCCCAGCTCCTTTGTGGGCCCCTAGGGGCACCGCCACTCTTCGGAGGTCCATGGGGAGGCCACCACACTGAGCAGGGCTCCAGTGGGCATTTGTTTTTACACTATTTAGAACTCTGGGAGATATGACGTTAAATAAATACAATGCCCATCGCATTTCCAGTATCATCTCATCGATACCAGTGAAAAGGAAAATAAATCTCCAACAGCAAATCATAAGTTTGGGTGTTGTGCTGACTGACTGCTCTGTTCTCCTATTGGCTGTAGTTTTGGATTTAGATTTTAGTCCACCAATCACAGTTAAGTTATGCATTGCTGACGTAGGAAACAACGACCAAGCTAGAGGGCTCCAGGGAGTGTGCACCCGTGGTAGGGCTCCTGGGGGTTCCGCCGCCCTTGGGAGGAACAGTGGGGTACGACCACCCCTGGGAGGCCACCTGTGGAAGCCTCTGCCTTCAGGAGATCCCCCGGAGGCGGCGCCGACCCAGAGAATTTCCCTGGAGGCACCACCGCTCCTGGGAGGGCTCCTGGAGGTGCTGCCGCCCATTTAAAGGCACCTAGGGGTACCGTCGGCCCTGGGAGGACCCCTGGGGGCGCTGCCGCACCTGAAAATGTTCCCGAGAGCGCAGCTGCACCTGTGAGGTCTCCTGGGTGCTGCCGCACGTAGCAGGTCTCTGGGGACAGTTGTTTTTAAACTATGAAATCTGGGAGTTATGACGTTAAATAAATGCAATGGCCATCGCATTTCCTGTTTCATCTCATCCTGAACAACGAAAAAGAAAATAAATTCCAACAGCAAAACATAAGTTTGGGTGTTGTGCTGACTGACTGCTCTGTTCTATTGGCTGTAATTAGGTTGAGTTACATTTTAATCCACCAATCACAGTTAAGAAAGGGATTGCTGGTCTTATGCATTATGTGACGACACCAAGACCAAGCAAGCTTTAGGGTTCCTGGAAGGAGGCGACCTCAGTAGGGCCCCTGGGAACCCGCTGTTTCTGGAGAGGGACCTCAGGGATCCTTGGGAGATCCCCTGGGAATTTCCATGGGGGTGACACCGTCCCTGGGATGGCCCCTGGGTGCTGTGGTGCATTGGAGGCAACCTAGGGGTGCCGCCGCCCATAAAATGGACCCTAGGGGTGCGGCCCTCTGGGCCCAAGGGCACTGCCGTTACTTGAAGGTCTCTGGGGGAGCCACCTCACCGACCAGGTCTCCTGGGGACAGTTGTTTTTACATGCTTTATAACTCTGGGAGATATTATGACATTAAATAAATACAATGCCCATCGCATTTCCTGTTTCATCTCATCCTGAACAATGAAAAGAAAAATAAATCTCCAACAGCAATACATAAGTTTGGGTGTTGTGCTGACTGACTGCTCTGTTCTATTGGCTGTAATTAGGTTGATTTACATTTTATTCCACCAATCACAGTTAAGTTAGGCATTGCTGAAGCACACAATGACGAAGCAATCTAGGAGGGCTCCTGGTAAGGGGCACACCTCGTAGGGCTCCTGGGAGGTCTGCCACCCTTGGGTGGGACCCTGAGGGTACAGCCACCCCTGAGAGGTTCCTGGGGGAGCTGCTGCCTTCAGGAGATCCCCCGGAGGCAACGCCGACCCAGAGTATTTCCCTGGAGGCACCACCGCTCCTGGGAGGGCTCCTGGAGGTGCTGCCGCCCCGTGGAATGCACCTAGGGGAACCGCTGGCCCTGGGAGGGGATTCTCTGAGGGCACTGCCAACCCTCAGAATGCCCCTGGAGAGCGCAGCCAAGACCGGTGATATCTCTGGGGCGTTAAGCCCCTTGCAGGTCTCCTGGGGACGGTTGTTTTTACACTATTTAGAAATCTGGGAGTTATGACGTTAAATAAATGCAATGGCCATCGCATTTCCTGTTTCATCTCATCGTCAACAATAAAAATGAAAATAAATATCCAACAGCAAATCATAAGTTTGGGTGTTGTGCTGACTGACTGCTCTGTTCTATTATTGGCTGTAGTTCGTTGGATGTACAGTGTAGTCCACCAATCACAGTTAAGTTAGGCATTGCTGAAGTAGGACACAACGACCAAGCAAGCTAGAGGGCTCCAGGGAGTGTGCACCCGTGGTAGGGCTCCTGGGGGTTCCGACGCCCTTGGGAGGAACAGTGGGGGTACGACCACCCCTGGGAGGCCACCTGGGGAAGCCTCTGCCTTAAGGAGAGACCCCGGAGGCGGCGACGAACCAGAGAATTTACCTGGAGGCACCACCGCTCCTGGGAGGTCCCCTGGAGGCGCTGCCACCCCTTGAAGGCACCTACGGGTACCGCAGGTCCTGGGAGGACCCCTAGGGGCGCTGGTGCACCTGAGAATGTCCCTGAGAGTGCAACCGCACCTGTGAAGTCCCCTGGGGGCGCTGCCGCCCTTAGCAGGTCTCCTGGGGACAGTTGTTTTAACACTATTTAGAAATCTGGGAGTTATGACATTAAATAAATGCAATGGCCATCGCATTTCCTGTTTCATCTCATCCTAAACAATGAAAAGGAAAATAAATCTCCAACAGCAAAACATAAGTTTGGGTGTTGTGCTGACTGACTGCTCTGTTCTATTGGCTGTAATTAGGTTGATTTACATTTTATTCCACCAATCACAGTTAAGTAAGGGATTGCTGGTCTTGTGCATTATGTACGACACCAAGACCAAGCAAGCTTTAGGGTTCCTGGAAGGAGGCGACCCTTGTAGGGCCCCTGCGGACTCCGCCGCCCCTGGGAGGGACAGTAGGTGACGCCGCTATCCCTGGGAGGGCTCCTAGGAGCGCTGCCGCTTCTGGGAGGGACCCTGGGGGCGATGCTGTCTTTGGGAGATCCTCTGGGAATTTCCATAGGGGTGCCACTGTCCCTGGGATGGCCCCTGGGTGCTGTCGCGCATTGGAGGCAACCTGGGGGTGCCGCCGCCCCTAAAATGGTCCCAAGGGGCGCTGCAGCCCCTTTGAGGGCCCCAAGGGGCACCGCCGTTACTTGGAGGTATCTGGGGGAGCCACCACACCGACCAGGTCTCCTGTGGGCAGTTGTTGATACACGCTTTATAACTCTGGGAGATATTATGACGTTATATAAATACAATGCCCATCGCATTTCCAGTATCATCTCATCCTGAACAATGAAAAGAAAAATAAATATCCAACAGCAAATCATAAGTTTGGGTGTTGTGCTGACTGACTGCTCTGTTCTCCTATTGGCTGTAGTTCGAAGGATTTACATTTTAGTCCACCAATCACAGATAAGTTAGGCATTGCTGATGTTGGAAACAACGACCAAGCAAGCTAGAGGGCTCCTGGGAGGGGGCACCCCTGGCAGGGCTCCTGGGGGCTCCGCCGCTCTTGATAGGAACCCTGGAAGTACGACAACCCCTGGGAGACCCTTGGAGGCGCAGCTGCCTTCAGGAGAGCCCCCAGAGGCAGCACCGACCCAGAGAAATTCCTTGGAGGCACCAACGCTCCTGGGAGGGACCCTGGAGGCGCTGCCACCCCTTCGAAGGCACCTAGAGGTACCGCCGGCCCTGGGAGAACCCCTGAGGGTGCCGCCGCACCTGGGAGGGCCCTTGAGAGTGCCGCCGCACCTGTGAGGTCCCCTGGGGGCGCTGCCGCCCCTAGCACGTCTCCTGTGGACAGTTGTTTTTACACTAATTAGAAATCTGGGAGTTATGACGTTAAATAAATGCAATGGCCATCGCATTTCCTGTTTCATCTCATCCTAAACAATGAAAAGAAAAATATATCTCCAACAGCAATACATAAGTTTGGGTGTTGTGCTGACTGACTGCTCTGTTCTATTGGCTGTAATTAGGTTGATTTACATTTTAATCCGCCAATCACAGTTAAGTAAGCGATTGCTGGACTTATGCATTAAGTACAAGACCATGACCAAGCAAGCTTTAGGGTTCCTGGAGGGAGGCGACCCTCGTAGGGGCCCTGCGGACTTCGCTGCCCCTGGGAGGGACCCTAGGTGACGCTGCTGTCCCTTGGAGGGGCTCTAAGGGCGCTGCCAATTCTGGGAGGGACCCTGGGGGCGACGCTGTCCTTGGGAGATCCCCAGGGAATTTCCCTGGGGGTGCCACCGCCCCTGGTAGGGCCCTTGGGTGCTGTTGCGCATTGGAGGCCACTTGGGGGTACTGCCGTCCTTGAAATGGTCCCTAGGGGAGCCCCAGCCTATTTGAGGGCCCCTAGGGGCACCGCCACTATTCGTAGGTCCCTGGGGAGGCCACCGCACTGAGCAGGGCTCCAGTGGGCATTTGTTTTTACACTATTTAGAACTCTGGGAGACATGACGTTAAATAAATACAATGGCCATCGCATTTCCTATTTCATCTCATCCTGAACAATGAAAAGAAAAATATATCTCCAACAGCAATACATAAGTTTGGGTGTTGTGCTGACTGACTGCTCTGTTCTATTGGCTGTAATTAGGTTGATTTACAATTTATTCCACCAATCACAGTTAAGTTAGGCATTGCTGAAGCACACAATGACGAAGCAATCTAGAGGGCTCCTCGGAGGGGCACCCCTGGTAGGGCTCCTGGGGGCTCCGCCGCCCTTGGGAGGAACACTGGGGGTACGACCACCCCTGGGAGGCCACCTGGGGAAGCCGCTGTCTTTAGGAGATCCCCCGGAGGCTGCGCCGACCCTGAGAATTTCCCTGTAGGCACCACCGCTCTTGGGAGGGCCCCTGGAGGTGCTGCCGCCTCTTGGAAGGCACCTAGGGGTACCGCCGGCCCTGGGAGGACCCCTGAGGGCGCTGCCGTCCCTCAGAATGCCCCTGAGAGCGCAGCCGCACCTGTGAGGTCCCCTGGGGGCGTTGCCGCCCGTAGCACGTCTCCTGGGGACAGTTGTTTTTACACTATTTAGAAATCTGGGAGTTATGACGTTAAATAAATGCAATGGCCATCGCAATTCCTGTTTCATCTCATCGTGAACATTAAAAAGGAAAGTAAATATCCAACAGCAAAACATAAGTTTGGGTGTTGTGCTGACTGACTGCTCTGTTCTCCTATTGGCTGTAGTTCGTTGGATGTACAGTTTAGTCCACCAATCAAAAGTTATGCATTCCTAAGCTCCTGAGAGGGGCACTCTTTTAGGCTCCTGGGGCTCCGCCCCTTGATAGAACCCTGGGTACTGACAACTGCTGGAGGCCTGAGGTGCAGCTGCCTTCGGATATCAAGGCACCATTCCGTCAAATTCCTGAGGCACCAACGCTCCTGGGAGGGACCCGAGGCGGCCACCCCTTTGGAAGGCACCCAGAGGCCTGGAACCCCTGAGGGTGCTGCCGCACCTGAGTCTGAGGCCCTGGGGGCACTGCCGCCCGTAGATCTCCTGGGACAGTTGTTTTTACACTATTTAGAAATCTGGGAGTTATGACGTTAAATAAATGCAATGGCCATCGCAATTCCTGTTTCATCTCATCGTGAACATTAAAAAGGAAAGTAAATATCCAACAGCAAAACATAAGTTTGGGTGTTGTGCTGACTGACTGCTCTGTTCTCCTATTGGCTGTAGTTCGTTGGATGTACAGTTTAGTCCACCAATCACAGTTAAGTAAGGGATTGCTGGACTTATGCATTAAGTACAACACCAAGACCAAGCAAGCTTTAGGGTTCCGAGAAGGAGGCGACCCTCATAGGGGCCCTGAGGACTTTGCCGCTCTGGGAGGGACCCTAGGTGACGCCACTGTCCCTAGGAGGGGCCCTAGGGGCGCCGCCAGTTCTGGGAGGGACCCTGAGGTCGATGCTGTCCTTGGGAGATCCCCAGGGAATTTTCCTGGGGGTGCCACCGCCCCTGGTAGGCCCCTTGGGTGCTGTTGCGCATTGGAGGCCACTTGGGGTACTGTCGTCCTTCAAATGATCCCTAGGGGAGCCCCAGCTCCTTTGTGGGCCCCTAGGGGCACCGCCACTCTTCGGAGGTCCATGGGGAGGCCACCACACTGAGCAGGGCTCCAGTGGGCATTTGTTTTTACACTATTTAGAACTCTGGGAGATATGACGTTAAATAAATACAATGCCCATCGCATTTCCAGTATCATCTCATCGATACCAGTGAAAAGGAAAATAAATCTCCAACAGCAAATCATAAGTTTGGGTGTTGTGCTGACTGACTGCTCTGTTCTCCTATTGGCTGTAGTTTTGGATTTAGATTTTAGTCCACCAATCACAGTTAAGTTATGCATTGCTGACGTAGGAAACAACGACCAAGCTAGAGGGCTCCAGGGAGTGTGCACCCGTGGTAGGGCTCCTGGGGGTTCCGCCGCCCTTGGGAGGAACAGTGGGGTACGACCACCCCTGGGAGGCCACCTGTGGAAGCCTCTGCCTTCAGGAGATCCCCCGGAGGCGGCGCCGACCCAGAGAATTTCCCTGGAGGCACCACCGCTCCTGGGAGGGCTCCTGGAGGTGCTGCCGCCCATTTAAAGGCACCTAGGGGTACCGTCGGCCCTGGGAGGACCCCTGGGGGCGCTGCCGCACCTGAAAATGTTCCCGAGAGCGCAGCTGCACCTGTGAGGTCTCCTGGGGACAGTTGTTTTTACAGTATTTAGAAATCTGGGAGTTATGACGTTAAATAAATGCAATGGCCATCGCATTTCCAGTATCATCTCAACCTGAACAATGAAAAGGGAAAATAAATATCCAACAGCAAAACATAAGTTTGGGTGTTGTGCTGACTGACTGCTCTGTTCTCCTATTGGCTATAGTTCGTTGGATTTACATTTTAGTCCACCAATCACAGTTAAGTTATGCCTTTCTAGAGGGCTCCTGGGAGGGGGCACCCGTGGTAGGGCTCCTGGGGGTTCCGACGCCCTTGAGAGGAACAGTGGGGGTACGACCACCCCTGGGAGGCCACCTGGGGAAGCCTCTGCCTTAAGGAGATCCCCCGGAGGCGGCGACGAACCAGAGAATTTCCCTGGAGGCACCATCGCTCCTGGGAAGTCCCCTGGAGGCGCTGCCACCCCTTGGAAGGCACCTAGAGGTCCCTCCGGCCCTGGGAGAACTCCTGAGGGTCCCGCTGCACCTGGGAGGGCCCCTGGGAGCGCCGCCGCACCTGTGATGTCCCTTGGTGGCGCTTCCGCACTTAGCAAGTCTCCTATGCACAGTTGTTTTTACATTATTTAGAAATTTGGGAGTTATGACGTTAAATAAATACAATGGCCATCGCATTTCCTGTTTCATCTCATCCTAAACAATGAAAAGGAAAATAAATCTCCAACAGCAATACATAAGTTTGGGTGTTGTGCTGACTGACTGCTCTGTTCTATTGGCTGTAATTAGGTTGAGTTTCATTTATTCTCCCAATCACAGTTAAGTAAGTGATTGCTGGACTTATGCATTATGTACGACACCAAGCCCAAGCAAGCTGTAGGAACATCGAGGCTACCATTATCCACGAACAACTACGCTTTACTGGTCATGTTTCCCGCATGGACGACAGTAGACTGCCAAAACAGCTACTTTACAGTCACCTAACGAATGGTAATCGTAACGCTGGCGGGCAACTGAAAAGTTATAAGAATAGTCTTAAGACAATCCTGAAAAAGAGCCAAATCGACCCCCTCACCTGGGAGACGATCGTTCTACACCGTAACGCTTGGAAGAACACCACACGAGAAGGTGTCAATAGTTTCGAGTTATCCCGACTACGTAGCGGGGCAGACAAGCGCCAACGCCGGAAAGATGCGGCAGCCGCCCCTCCCTCACTAGATGTAGCCCTCCACACATGGAACATCTATGGACGACCCTGCCGGTCCCGTATCGGCCTCTCGAGTCACCTCAGAGTTCATACTCGATTCCGAGGGACAGCAGAGTAGTAGTATTATATTGTGTGTGTTTTAGGAGTTTAGGGACATGTAGTGGCGTGTAAGATAGGACATGTGGGTGTGTGTGTGTGGTAGGGGATGTGTGTGGGTATATAGGGCGGGTGTGGGAGTATAGGGCGGGTGTGGGTGTATAGGGCGGGTGTGGGAGTATTAAAGTGGGCAGGCTACTCTGTTGACCAGTGGCTGACCTCGCTGGTCAAGAGTCTTCACTGCTGCCTCATGTCATCAAGCTGATTAAATATTTGCTCAAATTACATCATGAACCCTCGACAAATACTTCGCCAAGACGAATTATTTGCCGTCAAGAGTCAGCAAACAAGAAGTCTCGGAGTCTTGGTACACGACCGAGGGAAACACACTAGTGCTCTGAGATTGACATTCATGAAAAATTAATATATACCCGAACAACCCAAGAGGTAATTCTCTCTCTCTCTCTCTCTCTCTCTCTCTCTCTCTCTCTCTCTCTCTCTCTCTCTCTCTCTCTCTCTCTCTCTCCGCAGGTGTGAGTGACGGCGTCTTGATTATTCACATTACCTGATTTTTTGAGGGGGGTCATCTAACACCTCTGATAAACAATATCACTTATGTGGGTTATTATCGTGTACTGGCAGCCTTACATATCTCAATTATTCTCGTACATCGACAACACAATTTATTATTATCATACACCAGTAACTCATTTATTATTATCATACACCAGTAACTCATTTATTATTGTCATACACCAGTAACTCATCTATTATTATCATACACTAGTAACTCATCTATTATCAACGCACCATAACACTAGTTCTATTATTATAACACGTATCATAATTATCGTACACTGATATCATGACTCACAACACCTGATAGAGTATTGTCACCTGTTATATAATTAATCACCACTGTGTGTATTATTGCGCACAGGTACAATAGAGCTTGCATGCTGCCCCCACATTACAGCACTGATTATACACACACACACACACACACACACACACACACACACACACACTCACACTACAAATATTACACAGTTGTATTGATAATCTTCACCATTAGATCATAAAAATTTTCATGATCACAGTACATTTGGTTACACAGAATTTATATCATTGTACACTCGCCCCCCCCCCCCAATAAAGTATCTTTACGGAGGTATGATAAATTTTAGAAATGAGCACCGCGACTCCTGTTTTCCTCGGTACAGTTGTCAAAATCTTTCGTCTGTTGTGTCATATTATCTCACAGAACATTGTCAAGATATTATTTTTTTGGGGGGGGGAAGAGGTTCCACAATTTCCACATCTTACTGTACTACTGACAATCATAACATTTACTCCCTCATTAAAAAAGTACATTACAGTAAGTCAGTAATGATAGAGTGTATTGAATACATATACACACAGAGTACATGTTCAACAGATGGCACATTATTGGTTTTTTTTTTCACCGTGATGTTGACCTTTGGTATTGTAAGGGTATATAAGTTTTGTACACAACACATCGTCCAGTGATGATGGCGTGTGTGTGTGTGTGTGTATGTGTGTGTGTGTGTGTGTGTGTGTGTGTTTGTGTGTGTGTGTGTGTGTGTTTTGTGAAATTATCCTTAACTGTTTATAACTTATGTAGCAGACTTAAAGACAAACGAAGAGACAGTTAGAAAGACGGACGGACATAAATTATTTTCACAGGTTACATCCCATCATACACAGGAATCATACCAAGGGCCAAATAAATCATCATACACTCACATCTCCTCACAGAGCATGTAATCACCACTAATCATCACACATAGTCATCAAATCCTAGAACTAAGAATCATCATCCACACTCACAACCTCACAGAACCATTGTATCATAGAACTGACACATTATACTACACTAGTATCCCATTACCTCACATAAACACACACTAAAGAATCATTTATCATCACAAACAAAAAAAGACCCAGACGCCTGGTCATCGGACATCTCTTAACAGAAATTACGATCATTGTCAGCAAGCAAGACATTAAAGAAACATTAATCATCATACACACGCGTCATAATAAAGAAAAATAGTCATTGTACAAGGTCACCCCATCACTAGAGAATTAAACAGCATCGTACACTTGCATCCTACAGAAAGAATAATACGATATATTATCCTGCACAGCCATCCTACTATTAATATATATAAATATCATACACTAAAAATATAATGAAATAAACAGTTTATAATCGTAAACACTAGAAAACTAAAACATTCTGAAAAAAAAGTAAAAAAAGTATTATCGTATACATAAGCCCATCACTAAAAGATGTATAGAGCATCGTACATTATCATCCTACAAAAAAAAATAAACAATATATTATCGTACAGAGCCACGTCATCGTACACCAGCACACCCAACACCTCATTACCAACGCCACCAAGTTTTATTATTTTCACTACATGTGTCCAGCTGCAACAACAATAACAAACCCACGTGGCTGAAAATATGTCGTTAATGTGCCAAATAAAAGATAATTGTTTGGTTTCCTTGGTGATTTACGTCTCGTTTTACAGACCCTCAGCCGCACTGTAAACAAAAGTGGCTGTAAATTTTAGGATTTTGTAAAATAATATACAACTGTGGCTTACGACATGTTAAAGACCAGTTAAGTAGAGCAGTTGTGGTAGTTATGTGGTTCGCCCTGAGTGTGACTGGTCTCCACTGTGAAAAGTTGACTGGTGAAGGACAGAATACTAGAGAACCCGGCCTCTTGGAGAACCCGGCCTCTTGGAGAACCCGGCCTCTTGGAGAACCCGGCCTCTTGGAGAACCCGGCCACTTGGAAGTGCGGCCTCTTGGAGAACCCGGCCTCTTGGAGAACCCGGCCTCTTGGAGAACCCGGCCTCTTGGAGAACCCGGCCACTTGGAGAACCCGACCTAACCCGAACCCAGTCTATATAGGTGTACTCTGGGTTCAGTTGGGGTAAATAATAAATAGATATAATACAAAGGTCATTACGTTTATAGCTCTGTCTCTGGTTACCTTCCATGTTACCTGTCACGGATGGAAAGGTCAGAAAATTAACCCTAAACAACATGTGACCTTATGTTAGGTTGAAAAATATAAAGCTCCTCCCACTATCAATGTGACCAATCCTGAGCCTCGGGGGCGTGTCATTCTACTACACTGTGTTGATATTGTGTACTGCATGTGTGGGTTACTTTCGCTCGCTACCATGTCTAGGTTTGTTTAAGGACAAGACTAATGTGTGTGTGTCTTTTACGTGAACCGCAAAATTATGTGATAATACTAAATAATGCGTAGGTCGAGATCACTCAAGGGGGCCGGGTTCTAATAGGGCCTGGTGTGTGTGTGTGTGTGTCCTTGACCTTTTCCGGTGAATATAAAATCCTTCCTTTCACTGTCGACTATACAAAAGCCATAACGTATTACATAACCTAAAATAACAACATGTAACCCTAAATAATCGTTCCTAATAATGCTCTAACAAAAACTTGAAAAAAAATAATAATATCCACTTTCTAGTCAACTTGTAAATTGATTATTATGGCTTTTCTATTTTGATGTGCATCTCTCTATCTCTCTATCTTTATGTATCTTTAATATCTCTATCTCTCTGTATCTTTATCTATATGTGTATCTCTCCGTGTATGTCTGTCAATAGAATCTATACAATTTTCAACTCTACAGGTAACTAAATTAGCATTCAACTTTAAACCCATCAATTTGGTCAATCAAGTCAAGTTTCAATTTGCATCCGTTTTCTTACACCTGTCCTCCTGAACCCACACCTGTTTGTTTCTCTTCCTAGTGCTTCATTTGCCCTCCCTCTTCTTCCTCCCTGCTCCTCCTTCCTCTTACCATGCCTAATACATCTGCCCACTTTTATCCATTCTTCCACTCACTCCTCCCCATTTCCTCCTTGTTTTAACCCTCCCACTACTCATTCCGCCTTCTTCCTTCCACTCACTCCCACCAAGTCTTCCTCCCCAGCTTCCCCTCCTCCTTCCATCCACTCCTCCTCGTCTTCCCCTCCTTCACACACACATACACACACATTACCGACCACAGTGTGTTTCAGGTAACCAACAATTACGTACCCCAATGGCATACTTCACCACTCAATGTAAATGTTTAAATCAGAAATTCGTTAGTTCAGGGCGAAAAGTGTGTGTGTGTGTGTGTGTGTGGACTAACTATCTTTCAGGATGTTGTGGTGTTACTTTTCAGGCTATCGTGGTGCTGTCGTTCAGACTGTCGTGGTGCTGTCGTTCAAGCTGTCGTGGTGCTGTCGTTCAAGCTGTCGTGGTGCTGTCGTTCTTGTTGTCGTTCTTGCTGTCGTTCAGACTGTCGTGGTGCTGTCGTTCAAGCTGTCGTGGTGCTGTCGTTCAAGCTGTAGTGGTGCTGTCGTTCTTGCTGTCATCGAGGTGTCGTTCAGGATGTCGTTGGGTCTGCTGCCACTCACACCTGGAATATCGTGAAGACTTCTCAGCCGCCTGTCATGTAAATGTTATTTGTTGTAAGTCAACTGTATTTTGTTAACAAGAAGATACAATTACATGGAGTAAGTCTATCCCTTTGTGAAGCTGTGTGTGTGTGTGTGTGTGTGTGTGT